GAAAAAAGTAAAATGGAATTTTATAATTTCATTACATATTTTTCTATACAAATATTTTTTTTACAAAATAAATATATTTCAGTAGAATGCAAAGAGTAATCATTTTTTAATTTGTTTTTTCTTTTTCATCATTTTGATGCTTTATTATAAAAAAAATTTCCAAATTATAAGTATGTATGTCTAAAAGTCTTTAACACTCAACTCCTGTTGATTAGGGATTAGTAAGAGTACAGTTAAACCTAACTTTGAATTTAAAATATAGTTGGAATTTGGTGAATTACAGAGTAGTTCTCCTTATCTATTTGGTAATAATTGTATTATGAATTCTTTCATTAGGAAATAACTTGACATTGAGCTTCACATCTGCTCTTTCTAACCTTTAAGTAAATCTTTATAATAAAAATTATATATATTTTTATGAATGCTATCATAAGATAGTTTTAGGTATTTTCTATACAACTGTTTCAATACTAATTTTAAAAGTTGGAAGATGTCTTATCAGGAATCTACCATTTGTCTGTGCATTGGATACTGTTGCCATATCTGGTCTGGTGCTCCTGCTATTCATCTTGAGGTTCTTGACAAAATCCAAAGGATCCCTAATGTAATTGATCCTAACCAGGTATCTGAAATTAAGTCACTTTCTCACAGATGTAGTGGGACTTCCCTTTGTCATTTCTACAAATATTTTCATGGCAACTGTTCTGATGAGCTTTTTTCCTTAGTGTCCCAGCTACATGAATTTAAGCATGCTACTAGATTGGCATCCAGGTTTCACCTGTTTACTGTTGAAATAACTAAATGTAACCACCGCTTCTACTCCAACAGTTTCTTTTCTCACACTTCCTCCTGTGGAACTCCCGTTTACTTGCTTCCCTGATAAGTACAATCTTCAAAAATTTAAATGCAACATCCATCGCCATCTTCCGTTTTCTTGAATTCCATTCATCTTTTGCCCTTTCTTCAATCCTCCCTATACTCAGACTTTTCTCTCACTTTCACTCCCTGTAACCCCCTATGTGCTGGTGACATTTTCACCTTGCTAGGGGTGATTTGATAAAAAATGAAAGAAAAAGGAATATTAAGTTCATTTTAAAAAATATTTCAGTAATATTTGCATGTAAAATTTCTTGAGACTGATTTGAATGTTTTCAAAATTTCAAATTTTGTAAAAAAAGTAAACATTCTGAAACTTTATAGTTACCTGCTGTAGAAGGATTAAACCAAGCTAGTCTTGCAGATTATTCTTAATATAATGAGTTCAGTCTTTGTGTTTGGCTTCTAGTATTGTCATTTAAAGTAATAATAAGTGATACCTAATGACAAACTGTTTATTCTGACATCAGATGTAAAATATTTATGCATGCTTATTGGTATATCATCAGTGGTAGTACCTTTGCAGTGAAGCAGTTGACCCTGCTTTACTCAGGTGAATTGGGATGTGGATCTGTATTGGTTCATGGCTGATATCCAATTCTCACATATGCTCAAAAAGTCCACATGAGTACTGCAATGGCCACACACTAGTCAACAGCATCAGCCTGCCAGCTAAACTGTGAGGGTAGTCAGAAGGGTTTCCTGACCCGAGTGACGAAGGGTAATGCCTCTCCCCAACCCACCTGTGCCAAGTGGCCATTGGCCAGTCACCAGCCTGGGCATAGGAACAGTGCCTCATAGGTCAATAGCTTTATTGGTGGGTGGAGGAATCTCTGAGAGGAGGGATAAAGTAACCTCAACATCCCTGTCGTAAAAGGAAACAGCAGGCCATTGCACTATTTTGTAATTATAACAGAAATCGAGGGAGTGGTGACCACAGTGGTGCAAAATGTGGCAACTGAATAAATGAATGACTTCATGTGTATTGCTCTATTGTAACCTTGTGCCAGACTATGAAAAACTATCTATCTATCAATATAAGATATTAAGACATGTTAAAAATCGCTACATAATGGCAATTATGTTTCAGCACCATAAATGTGTCTCCTCAGGTGATGTTAAACTAAATTACTGCAGAGTTCATTCATTCCACCAATTCAGACCTTCCCAGCTAAGACCCACCATGTAATATACACAGGAATTAATCACTCCAATTCCCTTCATATTCCATTACTAAGAAAGGAAGTTCCATTTGGACAGCTTCTTCCTAATAACTGCTACTTTGTGGCACTGACTCCCACGTAGATGCTCCCCTGATTGCTACAATCTTAACCTCTTCAAGTTTAAAAGTTATTTTTCATACATATCCTCATAATCTGCACTTCTTATCTCCTCCTCCTACTCTTACGTTCATGCAATAATCTCATTCATTAACCTCCTATTTTGAGTGGCTCTTCAGTGAACAATTAGTAAAAAAGTTTCTTTATGCCATATGGAAAATAGTAAGAGCTTTTTTGAATATATATTTTTTTAAATATTTTATCATTAGTCTCATGTTGTCATAGAGTTGCTGCACAGGTGAGCACCTGTCCAGCTTCATCTGCATGTCTTGGTTGCATGTTAATTACTGAGCCTCAGTGAAAGATCTTTCAGTTCAATCAATGACACAGTTAGCCCATTTTTGGAGAGGTATTCGTTCATGCATAGTGTGTCTTGGGTAAAGTGGACTTGGCTAAGCCCATCCTCCTCTAGGTCATTTTTGTATATACACTAGAACAGTGCTTCTCAAACTATGGGTTGCGACCCCATTTGGGATTGTGAAGCGAAATACTGGTGTCATGAAAATTAAATTCAAACACTTGAATTTAAGTTTATATGTTATTTCACAAATGCACAGTATTTAACATGATGTGCCATGCAAGTGCTGCGGTAATACAATGTGCATGTGGCGCAGTTGTGTCTAGTGAAATGACAATGTATGTATTTTCACTGTATTTGGTTAATACCTGGTGCTGCAAAAAATCTTGTAATGAAAAATTGCTTTCTTAGTTAAATGAAAAATGAATGTCAGTCCGAGAGAGACTCTACTTGCTGAGAGGGACTCTACTTGTTTCAAGTCTCTTCTGTTCACGTTTACACAAATTTGAACTTGGCTCACTTAATATCAAAACTCTTCACCTTCTTTTTAATGGAAATTCTTTTATGTGCCAAGTGATTCCAAGACTTGAATGAACATAACTCTCTACAATTTCCTCTTTTATTTTTTTTACCGTTTATCATCCTTCTTTGTTTCTGTTCTGCCATCAGTTCATATAAATTCAATAAGTAGGTTACTTGCTATTTCCTCCTGCTTCGTTTGCTTATTATATTCTATAAGTATTAAATTCTCCAAGCCATTTTCCTCATTGTGTCCAAAAAATTTCAACTGTTTTTTTTAAGTATAAATTTCATTGTAGTTCTTATTTTCCTTAAAACTTCTCCACTGCTCATATATCCTGTCTATGGTATTCTTAGCATTTGTCACTAGAACCACATCTCTGTTGCTTTAAGTCTCTCCAGTGTCCAGCATTTATTGCCATGTAAGAAATTAGATATTACATAGCAGTGTAGTACTCTTTTCTTTATTTCTAACACCATTTTCCTATGTCTTAATACTTTACTTAGCTTCTGAAAGGCATCTTTTGCTGTTCATGTCTCTGAGTCATATATACTGGAAATGTTCCACAGGAAAGCATAAATGTTGCTTTTTTTTAATCTTTAAAATTAGAAGTAAAAACCCATATTTTAAAGTACATTTTAAAGTATATTTTCAAGAACTAGTTTAAATTCCTATTGATATTTTTAGCTTTCTGTTATTGTTTGCTTAACCCTAATAATTTGAAAATAAATCATGAATAAACCCACAGACAAATGAAAGCAATAGATAATTGGAAAGACAGGATAATGTAATTTATTATAGAATTTATTATTAATTCCAAAGCATCAAATCTTAATATCTCTGAAATATGAATGCAATATTAATGTTTTCCAAATTATATAAATTAATATCTGATGAGATTTTTGTTTATTTATTTATTTAGCCTTTTTCTCTTGTTTCATTTAATTATACATTAATTAGACTATCGCATTGAATTTTCTTTTCCTAATGAGTTGAATAATTTCTATACTGCCTACCTCTCATTGCCAATGCAACATCAAATCAAAACAAAAATATCATTATCTTTGAATTCCAGTTACATATTCTCATTAAACATAAAATCTCCCTTGTAGCTATTCTCATTATCTCTCAACTCTAAAAATATTCCTTTGTATTTTACTTTTGTTGTATTAAATGTGCTCACACTTGTTTAGTCTTCCTCCCATATACACAAGAAAGGGATTCTTGAGTATTATTGTAAATTCTCTATTTGACTTTGAGCTTTGAATAGGATGATTTGTAAACCTGCAAGAATTCACTAATTTGAGTGGCTGTTCAGTTTTAAGAGCAAATGTCATGCAGAAAATTGCTTAAAAAGTGGCAATTACTATTATAGACTGATCCATTTGTCCTAATCTAGTCATTGTTATACATGGATCCATTTGTCCTAATCCAGTCATTGTTATACATGGATCTATTTGTCCTAATCTAGTCACACTGGTTCAGTTATTTTACCCTCCAAACTTTCTTATGTATCTGTTGTACTTAGTAAATAGCTGAGAATTTTGTTAACATTATTGTTGTAAAGACAAATAAGGACACAAGAATAAATCTCATATGTAGAATTATTGTTTATTCACCTCCAAACTTGATCAATTAATATCAGCAAATGGGTGTGTGACTTTGGGGGCTTTCTCCAAATGTGGATATCCTTCTCACAAAAAATGTGAGAGACTTTTCACTCTCAGGTGGAGTGCATATATATCTTATCATTTGGTTGCTCTATGTGTAAATGCATGTGCAGCTGGGTTAGCCACCTGTTTACATGTTGGAAGCAGCCACCGACATCTTGCAAGGCACAAATCTGTTCTTTCCTAATTTAAGATGAGTTCACTAGTCTCAATAGATCAGAATATAATATTGATAATTCCACATTTTATAAATTCAGAGAGATTGAAATATATGTGGTTTTATATGTAAGTAGGACTTGTTTGGTATGTTTGGGAAAATTGAAAAAAATTAATAGGTGAATTTTTTCTTTTCTTCCCTTAGCAGGAATTTTGTTAAGAAGATAGATAGATAGACAGACAGATAGATAGATAGATAGATCACCACAAAGATAAACAAACAGATAAACAAATAAATTTATGGAATCCATGACCTTACCACAAATTTATCTCCAAATATGTATGTCTGAACAGCAGAAGGAAACCAAGTTTAAGAGCAGTAAAAGTGACCATTTTTTTTCTTAGAGATTATCTGAACCACTTATAAATGAGGTGATGTGACTGAGGCCTGGAAATTGGGCCAAAAGTGATTCAGACTAGCCAAATGATTCTACCTAATAAGTAAATTCTGGAATTAAAATTATAACCAGGAGGATTCATAAAAATTGTGTCTTTGTAAACCTAATATAATGAAACTTGCTTGTGGTTTCAAGTGGTTATTAGCTGTATGTCAGAAGGACACCTGTCATTGAGTTTTGTAATTTCCAATGCCATCTCAACTGTTGAGATGCAAAGAAAATCCAATCAACCTTGCTGCTTTCCTTGCCCATTCCAATTACTGTCTTGACAAAGTAGACTAGCTTGAAGCAAAAACAAATCACTTTTGCACAAACCAGATTAAATATCAGGTAACATCAATTGATATTCTCTTTCTTTCATACCCTTCCTGTAACCATTGATCCCAGAAAGAGGCTGAACAGGCAAACAAATGGATTGAATTAAGTATATGAGAGCCTTATTGTACAAATTACCTGAAGAAATGTGCTGGGACTGCTTCACAGCTAGAAATGGGTTTCAGTCTGTAACCCAACTATGATGACGATCATAGCCCACATGACAATGTGGTGATAGTAATGTGTATATACTTATTATTAACATTAAATTTGAAAACTGGAACTATGTTATTAAAGTGGATATACTTATGAAAATCAATTTTTCTAGTGTCTAAATTGTCTAATGGTTCAATATTCAGTTTTATGTCTCTTTTATGACTTGATTATATTTATTGACCTGTATGTGGAAAATGATATATACATTTTTATGTGAAGAACAATTTTAGGGTAAACTAAAAGAGATCATATGAACATAAAATGAATCTTTTACAAAACAATACACTTAATGCATTAATTGCTCACCATTAGAAGACTGACCATAATTTTTGGTTTAAAAAATGCTACTCTAATTAAAAAAGAAACGAAACTATGAAGATAACATGTGGTATCTTAAAATACTAATTACCCATACCATCAAATAAAGATATTACTATTGAAGAAATTTTACAATTGCATTGGTTTTCTGCATGAGTTGTTTTTTTTTTATTGTACACCTAATACCAGGCCCAAGAGCCACTCAAACTAGAGGGTTACTGTATGGTATTGTATGAGCATAATAGAAGGCAAGAAGAAAAGTTTATGTAAGAAAGATAACTGTTAACCATAAACTTGAAGAGGTTAAGATTGTAGTGATAAGAGAAAACATTCTGCTGGGAATCTGTTCCACAAAGCAGCAGTTCGTGGAAAGAAGCTGTTCAAGTTAAACAATTTAATATTTATCTGTACAATTAACTCTCTTTTCACATATAAGAAAAAATTCTGCTTCTAAATCATTAAAAGTACAAATGTCTACAGAAAACTAACTTGAAACAAAATAAATAAAATGTAATGTATTAGCTGCCTTATCTTCCCTACTTACTAATGAGATGCTTTGTTGTGTTGTTAAAGGAGGTGTGTTTGCTTACTGGTTGTGCATATTGCCTTTTGTTATACGAAAAAATATTTCATTATCACAAATAGGGAAGATCAGACTGTATGACTGATAAGTATATAGTGATTTTATTTTATATTATAGAATAGATACAGTATAAAAACTTTTATTGTATTGATACTTTTTGTTTTTGTGCTAAGTTGGACCAAAATAGAAAATTTCCAATTATGTATACTATTTTTGATTCTTTAATTACATTAATATTTTTCCAATCTGGAAATTTAATTGGCTTGACATAATAGCTGAAAATTGTCTTACATTGAATCAAATTAAACTGTACATTAACATCATAATGATAGTGTGACATGTATTTAGATATAGAAAATAACTTTTTTACTGTAGATATATAAAGTAATGATGTGCATTTAGTGCAATAGCTATTGTCACAGAAAGTGAAATTCAGAAGCCAAGTTCAAATTTCAGCATAGTCTGTTGCATTTACTTTCACACTGATGCCTTTGTGATAGGCATGAATCAATCTATTCTCCTTCTAGCTATGACAAGGTAGGCTGAGTTCTTTTGTCTAGGAATGCTACCAATCTAGGGCTACTTTGAATTCGAGACCATGCTAAAGACAACAGAAAACCATTCCATTGTCTTTTAATTCCCAAATAAAGGAATCTGTCAAGATTCATGATTGACCAGATCCTGAAAGGTCATGCATAACATTTTAAAACAAAAATATGGAATGCATTTAAATATTACAAGATTTGAACAAAGCTTTTAAATATCTATTATCAAATGATTTTTGGATCAAAATCAAATTATTAAACATTTTATGGTAATTTTTCAGTTAAATGTGTTCTCTTCTGTAGTTTTAATGTAAATAAAATGTAAATGTAGATTGTTGCTCACCTGTGAAAAAGTTATATATCATGATACTTGTTAAATGCCTTTAACAAATGTTTGAACTGTTAACATTGGATTTTATGTAATTGATTTATAATTGATATTAAAAAATTGTAAATATGTTAAAACTTCCAAAAAATTGTAAAGATTGAACACATTCTTTACATTGCTTACATTATTATAAAAATGTTTCTTCACATACAATGTGAAAGGGAAGAGCTTATTTTTTCATTGGAGAGCATCCTTGTCTATGAGATTCATCTATGTTACACAAGTTAGTTATGAAAAGATCATCTGTGTGGCTCATTATGCTGGGAATAAACTGATCTGGTCAGTTTGATCTATTATCAGTTTGACGTTTGGTTCACTAAAAAAATTAAAACAAAACTCATTCCTTATAAATGAAAAATTTAGTAGAATGAAACATTTTAACAATACAAGCAACTCGCAAAATAGTGGTACCCACTAAACTTATTCAGGTGTCTTTATACCCAGTAACATTCTTGGAATTTTAAATCAAACTCTTTATTCAAGAGGTGTTCAAATAAAACCTAATGGTTGAAACATTGTGAGTATATATTTTCTATTTATACATTTCTGGAATTGATATATATTTGTAGTAAAGTTGTTTTATAAAAATTTCAAAATTTTCTCTTTAAGAAAAATTTAATCTTAAAATTTTGTCAAATTATAAAATTGTATTGCCAGATCTACTTTACTATCACTCCTAAAAGCAAAGAACAGTGTGTGTATGTGCTTGCTTGTAATTTAATCCTATAAAATTTTCTAACATTTCATTTTAAATAAATTTACTTACTCTGAATAAAGTTTGAGAAATTTTCTTTCAAAATTGTATATCAACACATATTTTGATTTGATACTTAGTATTTTTGGGGTGTTCTAGATATTTAATATAATTTGACACCATAGTGTGTTAAAAAGAACATTATTTAAAAGAGCAATATTTCATTAGAAACAAAGAAAAGAGTATAGTACTAAGTGTTGGACACTCTTCCTCACAAATGATGATGAGACTTGAAGCAACAGATGTAGTTCTATAGACAGATACTGAGAATAACCTGGACAGAAAAAGCTACCAATGATGAAATTCTAAAGAAAATAGGAATTAAAAAAAAAAAAACTCATATTTAAAACCAGAAATTTCTGGGACACAATGTAAAGAGAGATGGCTTGAAAAATTTAATACTCACAAGAGATATTGAAGGAGGGAGGTTAGAGAGAAACAATGAGCAACTTAACTAAGAAGTTTGTGAGAATGGGTGGCAGAGCAGAGACATGTTACTTAGAGCTACAATGGATAGGAAATTGTGGAGAGCCATGATCACCTATATTCTGAAGAAACACAGAATATAAATAACGATTAAAATCATATAGAATTGTTTTCATGAAATGAAAAAACTCTTTTTTTTTTAGCTTGAATTCATTCATCTTTTTACAGTAGAAAAAGTATTAATTGAATTGAAGAACATCTTTAAGTCTTTTATTACACATTTTGTCACTATATTTCATGCTAGTATTTATTCTGTATGATGACAATTTTTAGTAATTCAGTCAGTTATGTGCCATGTGTGATACATGCTTAGGCGATCATGTATCTTTTGATACATGACTGACAAGGCAGATTTTTTCCTGCAGTAGGTTGCCATTTCTTACTGTGGTTGACCAGTTGCTATCCAAGGCTATAGAACCTGGTCTGTCCTGCTATTTATCCATAGCTGGAGGGAGAAGAAGAGGATTCATACCTTTCCCAAGGGTATTAGCACGTAAGTGAATGTAATGGATTTGACTGGAACTCAGCTCTCCATTTCCTCAATTCAAGCTGTTATCCATTATTCCACCATGCCTCATTTTAGTAATTAAATATTCTATATTCCCATAATCAGTATCTTTAGTTTTGAACATTGTTCTTTACATACTATTTAATTACTTTTGTGTTATAAAAATTATTTCATTTTCATATGGCTGTTAACCTTTAGACTTTAGATTCTTAGCAAAGATGTTTGTCTCCTTTCTCCTTTGCAAATTTTCTGAGGGGGAAAAGCACAAATCCTGACTTACCAAAGTCTTACAAAAGAAGACAAAAATAAAGCTAGATAAAAAAAAAAAAAGTGAACTATTTGAAATTTCCACATGGAATGCTTGGATTGATTTTTGTATAATCTTTCTGAAAAAGTGAATTTGAAATTCAAGATTAGCAACAGTAATAACTTGTTTGTTTTTTTTTTTTTTTGTCTTTTTTTTTTCTTTGTGGAGATGGGTGGGGTAGAGTGGGTTAGAGTGATGTGGTTGGATTTTTCAATTTTTTTTTATTCAGTTTGTTATTGATTCACTTAACATTAATTTCATGTCAAGTTACAACATACATCAACCTACCCTACTCCATGAGCCTATCCTTAGATTTTTCAGGAATTAGGATGTATGATAGCATACCTGCGGTGTCAAACTGAGCATTAGCACAAGCAATGCATAGAAACAGAATTATTTATTGACAATTTGATTGTATTGGATAGTATAAAAA